TTGCCTTGTTGTATTGAAACTGTTCAACATAAATGAATAATGCATATATGTTGATTTTCAGAGATCTTTTAAATTTATTTAGGCATTAATAGTTGCACACCAATAATTTTTCTTTTCTCTTGAAGATACAAAATTAAATTATAGTTGTTTTGTTTTATTTCCAATTTCTTTTGTTGCCATTTTATCATATAAAATGAATTCGAGTCAGGGTTCAAGCTTGCGTAAAATTTATTGCAAATGTAATTTAGGATGTGTGGTGTTCACCGACAACAAAGGCGATAATTGTGGAAGAAAAAATACACATGTCCAAGAAATCATTCACAAGATGTTTGTGGGTATTTTAAATTGATAAATGAAATGGATGCATTGTTTCTATATGTTGAGTGTTTGTAATCATTTGTGTGCCACAAGTTGTCTAAGGTGATGATCCTGTCACATTTTGATGTGTACATTGATTGTAATCATTGGTGTTGCTTTTACATTGAATGTATCTGTGCCAAATAATAATAATAATAATAACTTTGATGTCTATTGCTTTATTTTATGATAAGGATGTCGACATACATAATTACAAATATCTTATGTATTGACATATCTCACACCTAAACTTTCCTATTTACACACACAAAACTCAAATTTCTAATATCACATCAAATTATGTGCAAATATCAAAGTTTATGTGTGCGATATGTAAAACATTAAGATAAAATTGTGTGCTAAATATATATATTTTTCTTTGTGAAATGTGGAGTTTATATGTTGAAATACTCATTTGATGAAAAGTTCATAAAATTAAGAAAGAAGCATGATAACAATCCTTCTGTATAGAAATATGATTACAAAGAGAATGTTGGAATTGAAGTTATTCTTAATTCAAATTCAAACATAAGCATTCTTCAAAAAAGGTTAATTTATTTATTTATGTAAAAAGCTTTATTTTGTGGATGCTTTATCAAGCAGGTTATATAGTTCAGAGAACTTAATATTTAAAAGGGCACAATGCAAAATAATATGAATAATTATTCAAAATGATATGTCAAGAATAAAAACATTTGGTTGGATTTGTCCAGTTTTTATTTCATAGCTTCATGTTAATTTCTAAAAATTGTAGCTTATCAACAACAGATTAGTAGAAAAGATAAACATGAAACTATAGAAAACTTTATTAACTTTCCAACAGATAAAAACCTATGCGAATCTGAAAACAATATTTTGATGTTATTTACATGCTCTGTGGGAAAACTTTGATGTTATTTTGATGTTTCTTTTTACATCTCTACTCAACAAAAGTACTTATATAACTTGTAGAAGAAATTATTTAGAATTTAATGGCCTGAAATGCTTCATAGATGCCAACACCATCATTTGGCCACAAATTTTAACTCATCAGAGAAGATAATTTGTTTGCAATTTTCTTCCTAAGTTCAGTTGTTGAGAATTTATGAAACCATGTTATAGTCTTGAATGACAGTAGCCGCACAACAATATCAAGTCACAATACAATTTTGAATTTATTTTATACGAGTGTAATATATGAATTATTAATCAAATATATTTTGAGTTTAATTTTTATATTTATTTATATAACATTTTGAAATATATGAGAAGACTTAATTTTATTGATGAAAAGAGAGGTATAAGGTATAAATGAAAAGAGAGGTATAAATACCCATTACAAGTCTTACTGGTAAGGAAAATAATAAAAACAGAATACAGTAAAAAAAGAAAGAAATAATAAAAAAATATAAGAAACAACTAATCTCTCTAATTTAAGGAGAGAAATAAATAGAGATTCTCAAGATCCCTCATATAATTTATAACCCTCTAAATATAGAGTTATTACCAATATGAAATATAATAATTATTATTTTTGAGATATTTCAACACTCCCCCTCAAGTTGGGTTGTACATATTGTACATATCTAACTTGTTACATAAATCTTCAAAGTTGATTCTTAGGAGAGGCTTAGTGAGGATATCTGTTGTTTGATGTCGGAAAAGAATGTATGCAAGTTCGATGACTCCTCTCTCAATGTTTTCTGAGATGAAGTGTCGATCGATCTCGATGTGTTTCGTTCTGTCATGGTGTACTGGATTCTTTGCAATGCTGATGGTTGCCTGGTTATCACATTGTAGTTTGAAAGTTTTTTCAGTTAGCATTCCGAGTTCACTGAGTATTATTCAAATCCATTTTCCTTCGCAGATCCTAAGTGCAAGAGCTCTAAATTCAGCTTCAGCGTTGCTTCTTGATACCACAAATTGTTTTTTGCTTCTCCAAGTGACTAGGTTTCCCCAAACATAAGTGCAATAACCGGAAGTCGATCGTTGGTCTGAGACATCCCCTGCCCAGTCTACGACTCAATACACTTCTACACTTTGATCCTTATTCCTTTGAAACAATAGCCCTTTGCCTGGAGTCATCTTGAGGTATCTCAAAATTCTGTAGACTGTATTCATGTGTTCTTCCGTAGGGCTGTTCATGAATTGGCTAACAACACTAACAGAAAAACCAATGTCGGGTTGTGTGTGTGAGAGATAGATGAGTCGCCCCACGAGTCGCTGATATCTCCCCCTATCCATAGGTGCGTTATTTTTCTTAGTGTCGATCTTCTTGTAGGGATCCATTGGAGTATTGACGGGTTTGCAACCGAGCATACCTGTTTCCTTCAACAGGTCCAATGTATATTTGATCGAGCTAGTTCCATGTCGAGAAAGAACTTTGGGTTTCCAAGGTCTTTGATTTCGAATTCCCGAGTGAGAAGCTTTGTCAGATTTGTGAGTTTTTCTTCGTGATTTCCGGTGAGGATGATATCGTCGACGTATACGATTAGAATTGCAATCTTCTTTTCGGGAGAGGTTTTTACGAAGAGAGTGTGATCTGCCTGACACTGAGTACACCCGTGTTTTGTCACTGATTTTGCAAATCTATCGAACCATGCTCGGGGAGATTGTTTGAGGCCGTACAATGATTTTTGGAGTTTGCAGACTTTGTTGTTTGGAAATAATGCTTCTAGTTCGGGAGGTGCTTCCATGTAAACTTCTTCTTCCAAATCACTATTTAGGAAAGCATTTTTCACGTTGAGTTGTGGTAGTACCAGTCTTCATTTTCCCCAAGTGAGATAAGGATTCTGATGGTGTTATGTTTGGCTACGGGGGCAAAGGTTTCTTGGTAATTAATACCGTAGGACTGTGAAAAACCTTTTGCTACGAGACGTACTTTTAATCTCTCAATTGTACCATCTGCCTTGTATTTGAATTTGAAGATCCATTTGCAGCTGATTGCTTTCTTTCCCTTTGGCAGGTCTGAAACAGTCCATGTACCATTCTTTTATAGGGCTCTTACCTCCTCATTGATGGTTGCTTTCCACCCCGGGTGTTTGAGAGCTTCATCAATCGTGTTTGGGGCTTGTGTATTGTCAAATACAGTGGCATAGGCTCGATAAGCTGAAGATAGTCTTTCACAGGACACAAAGTTGGAGACCAGATGCATCGTGTGTTCGTCCCTGAGTGGAGGACGGATGGACCTAACACCTTTCCTTAAAGCAATTGGAATGTTAGAGTCATGAATCATAGGTATAGTAGATTCATGCTCAAGTGTGTGGATTTCTGTAGGAGTTGGATTCAATTATGACTCTTGGATTGGTGTTGGATGTGTTGGGTGATCTATGTGCGAGTTGGACACTTGAGGACTTGACGTAGACTGGTTGTTAAGTATATTTTCACATGAGTTGGATGAACTTACTGAATCAGAGTCGGGAGATAATGAGTTTGGTTCAAAGGATAAGGATTTGATGTGTTGTGGTATGAACTCGTTGTCCCCCCAAGACTGATATTCCCTTAAAGTCTCCCCACTGAATATTAGAATTTGGGTAGTAAGGTTAATTTTCAAAGAAGGTGACATCCATAGTGTTATAGGTTTTTCTTATGAGAGGAGAGTAGCACTTATACCTTTTTGAAGAGGCGAGTAGCCAAGGAAAATACATTTAGTAGATTTGAGGTCAAGTTTGTTGGGATTGTGTGAATGAATGTGAACAAAGGAGGAGCAACCAAATACTTTGGTAGATAGATTTTGGGTTTGCCTTGGTGTGGGAAAATGATTTGAGAAGGAGTTGGACTGAACTTTGAAATTTGAGGACCCGAGAAGGCATCCTGTTGATGAGGTAGGCTGCAGTGGATACAACGTCACCCCAAAAAACCTTAGGCACGTTAGAGGAAAACATGAGGCAGCGGGCCACCTCGAGAAGGTGGTGGTTCTTGCGTTCGGCGATCCCATTTTGTTGAGGAGTGTCGACGCAAGAACTGAGATGAATGATGCTTTTAGAGAATAGATAAGAGCCGAGGATGGAAGCGAAGTACTCCTTTGCATTATCAGTCTTGAGTGCCTGGATGGAGGTTTGTAATTGTGTTTGGATCATTGAGTGACATTGTTCAAATATGACCGACTGCAGATTTTTCTTTCATAAGAAATAGCCGCGTTAGTCTATTGTGATCATCAATAAAGGAGACAAACCAACGAGTCCCGGTAAGGGTTGTAACACGGGATGGGCCCCAGATATCGTTGTGAATGAGTGCAAAGGGCCAGGAAGAGGTGTAACCAACACGTGGAAATGACGTGCGAGTGTGTTTGGCAAGTTGACAAAATTCACTGAAAAGAACGAACATTTTTATTGATAAATAAATTTGGAAATAATTTTGCAAGATACATAAAATTTGGATGGCCGCTGAGACGAAAATATCATAACATGATCTCGGAATGTTTATTGATAATAGAATTGAAGACAGAGTGATGGGTAGACAAATGTCCGCAACGAGATCGTGGCGGTGAAGTCTGTCGATGACGTAAAGACCTAAGCACATTCAGCATTGTCAATCGTCGTCCCTGAGACTACATCCTAAAATTCACATATGGTAGGGAAAAATTTAGCAATACACCTCCGATCACTAGTTAATTTGCCGATTGATATTAAATTGCAATTTAAAGTAGGAACATGAAGCACAGATCAGAGTAGAATGTTTTGGGTGATGTGCACGGAGCCAAAGCCGGTTGCACGGAGCCAAAGTGGAGCCAAAGCCGGTGAATTTAGAGACAGAGCCATCGGCAAAGCGGATGGTGGAGTAGTCTCTGCACGACATATAGTCATGGAGAATAGAAGCATCGCCAATCATGTGATGAGAAGCGCCGAAATCAATGATCCACCGACCGAGAGATCCTTAATTGACTGTGAAGGCATGATAAAACATACCTTGATGTGCGAGCATGCCGATGATGGGGTTGGGAACAGCCAGATCAGGTGGTTTGCCGATCAGTTTGTGCAACAAATCTAGTTGTTTCTTACTGAATGGACTGGGCGCTAGTGCGAGAAGGTCATCGGCAGCAACGACGCTATTGGCACGGGGAGTGCGATCAGACCGAGGCTTCCAATCGGCTGGCTTTCCATGAAGCACCCAATACGTGTCTTTATTATGGTCTCGCTAGCGGCAATGGTCTCACCATGGGATGACCTTTGCGTGATGGGTTGTCGCTGTGTCGAGGTGGAGGAACTCGAGCTACAAGGGCAGAGGCGTCAACAGAGAGATTGTGCGAGGTGGAGATAGGCCCAAGCATGACTTTCTGGCGGCTTTCTTCGCGGCGAACCTCGGAGAAGGCCTCACGAATGCTCGGTAGTGGTTTGATGCTTAATACACGAGAGCAGACATGATCGGGAGAGTTGTTGAGACCGAGAAGAAATTTGAATATCATTTTTTGCTCGATGATCTGACGGTATAAGTTGGAGTCCGGAGTGCATGACCTGACATGGACTTCATGACATGGACTTCATACATGTCAATGTCAACCTGTTGCTAGTAACATGAGAGGGCATTAAAATACTGAGTCAAAGATTGATCACCTTGAAGAAGATCGTGTATGATTGACTCGATCTCGAAGAACTTGGATGTGTAATATGAGTGATAGTATGTCTCTCGAGCAGCATCCCAAATACTCTTGGCCGTGTCGTAGAGAAGAAAATTTTTGCCGATGTCGTTGGTCATAAAATTTATTAACCACGACATGACCATATGATTTTTTGCATTCAATGTCCGGAATTTTGGGTCATCCTTAGTCGGAGCGACGACATCACCGGTGATATGGGCGTCCTTGCATCTGCCGTCGTCCTTGCATCTGCCGCAGATAAACATCATAATGGGTTATGACAACTGGAAGTAGTTCTGGCCGTTGAGTTTGTGGCCAGTGATGAGGGAGGAAGTGTCATCGATTCCGGTTGGAAAAGGGGCAGATAAGACAGATGATATATCTTGGGAGGATGAAGATGATGCCGTCATACCGATGAAGATTGTTATGACTCTAATACCATGAAAAGATATGAGAAGACTTAATTTTATTGATGAATAGAGGGGTATAAATACCCATTACAAATCTTACTGATAAGGAAAACAATAAAAACAAAATACCGTGGAAAAAGAAAGGAACAATAACAAAATATAAGAGACAGCTAATCTCTCCAATTTAAGGAGAGAAATAAATAGAGATTCCAAAGATCCCTCATATAATTTATAACACTCTAAATATAATTTATAACCCTCTAAATATTCTAAATATAGAATTATAACCAATATGAAATATAATAATTAGTATTTTTGAGATATTTCAACACATTCTAATTTTAAAACTACATCAAACATATCACTAATATTACTTTATTATACGAATTATGAATTCACATATATTTTGAGTCAAATTTTCATTTTTATTTAAATAACATTTTAATTATAAAATAAAAGAAACACTGATATTACTTTGTATGCTATGAAATATATTTTATCATGTATACATTTTAATGAAATTTATCATAAATTATTATATAAAAAAATATGAATATTTAAATATTAAATTTATAAATTTATAAAAAAAATTATAATATGTAACTTAAAAATAGGAAAAACAGTACCTTCGTATTTACTTTACAAACACAAAGCAATCCTAACTGATACATGTACAGGAACAAACAGAAAAAAGAATTCATTTGCATTTTACACTCAATGAAACAGCTCCTAAATATTCAGAATATACAACAATTAGAATAGAAAGTATTCCATTTACTGTGCATTTCCATTACAAGCAATCAAACAGCCCCATAATGAAACTATGTCCATGCTCCCATACAAAATTAGTACCATATACAGCAACAGAAATTTTGGGAGAAAAAAAAAAAGGGTAAACCATGAAACAAACCGTACCACAGCAGATGTTCTGTTGAATGTTACGAGATTCATCTTGTTGATTTCTTGGCCAGATTTCCAGCAACGAACTTTATGATTGGTGAAAAGAAGTTGGCCCAACTGCCACCTCCATTTGTTGTTTAAACGCACAGCCTTTCTTGCAGGTCGGGCAAAAGAAAATAAAATTATCTCTTCTTCCAGCATTCAAGCTCCCAGATCACCTAAAGAAACTGCAGTTTCTATAAAGCTATAAGCCAGAAGGTTACATGTGAATTCGCCCGCATGTAGCATCTATTTTGTGTAGTTGGAAATAGCATCATGGCACATCTCAACATTACTTTGCCATCCATTTGTAACCAATGATTCTGATCAACGGTCTGTGAAGAAGCCGGGAGCCACCACATTTGATCTATTCAAAGACAGTTAAGAATCTAATGCGGTTGTAAGGGAGCCTTGGTATTTGATCTGTGCCAAACAGCTTGAAATAAAATAAAAACAAAATACAGATGAAAAACAAAAGTGATCTCAAACGCCCCATAAGGGATCACATCTGCTTTATATATATATATCAATGATCCACCGACCGAGAGA